GTTGCTGAGATATTTGGGACACTTTGGAAAAGTTTGAGGAAGCAAAAGGGAACATTGGCACGGCTGTTTGATTTGTGTGTCTACAGGTCCACCTGCAGTAATCACACCTCCAGTCTTCTCTTTGAACCTCAGCTGGTGTTTAGGTTCCTCCGCTGGATTACAGGCCGGAGCAGCTTGTTTATGGGAGAGTTTTTATAACGTGTCATCGCGTCGAGGCGGAGATTGTGGTGGTGAAGGACGTCCAAACAAATCTAGATCCACGTCTTGTAATTTCAGCTCAGAGCGATGGGAGCTCTGCTCCTCATAAACTCCTGTTTTTAGGACGTTCTCGCAGTGAAAGCACATTGCATACTTCTAGATGTGGAGTATTTAAAGTGTCTTTAGGCATGCAGACCTGCAGCACATCAGGGACAAGAACAGAGAGTGCTCATCAGGATTAGAAAGTCCATCTCCTCTCTGTTGTTTAGTCTGGAGTCGTGTCCGCATGCTTCTCCTCTCGCTGAAAGTGTGTGAAGAGGGTTTGGTGAGGAGGCGGGAGTCTGAGGAACATGACGGGTCTTTGGCTTCGTTTCTGGGAATTTCTTTGAGTCATCATTCTTAGAACAAACAATGTTACCGACTTATTTATGTAGTGAGTTCAACATGCCTCAGTGTTACTAAAATCATCCGTATGAATGTGTAAAAGTGAGATACTGGGAGGAAGACGAAGTAAAAGTTCTTAAAAATAGGATTCAGGATACGTCAGAACCAGGACGTTCCTCATTCCTCATTCGGGGTCAGAGATTTGAAACAAAGCTTCTTGGACCGAGGGAGCCCTCCGGAGGACCGAGGGAGTCCTCCAGAGGACGGCCCTCCATCATGCTCTCCGGCAACATGTCAGACCACAGTAAAATAAAAGGCGGTGAGGACGGTGGAGCCGGGAGAGCAGCCGGGGTCAGAAAATAGAGACAGTCCTGCTTCAGCAGATTGTGCGAGGCGCAGCGGAGCGTTTATCGACACGGGAGGCGGCCGACTGCTGACGCCACAGCGCCGACCTCCATCTATTTCTGGAGATCGAAACCGGAGGTCCAGGGCCCCCCGGTGACAAAAGACGGCCTCCACCTGCGATGCATTCATCAAACCCAAGAAGAAGAGGAGGAAGAAGAAGAAGAAGAAGAAGAAGAAGAAGAAGAAGAAGAAGTGCATCAGTCAGAGAGAGTCCCCTGTGTTCCCTCCTCCCGCCTCATTAAGACATCACACGCCTCCACAGCCAACGTGTGAGCCTGGGATTCCTCAGCAGAACTGGGTCTTTGTTTTACTTACACATGGCCCTTTGGAGTAATTCACTCCGCTGCTCCACCAGTGCGGGGCCGGGCTGAGTCCCCGGCGCCCCCCTAGCGAGGGTGCCAGCGGGGTAATATGGATGTTAGCTGGGGAGCACGCTGACAGCCCCAGAGGCGACTGTTTAATTCATCGTGTTTTAATTATCGCTCTCCTTCAGCAGAGCTGTGGCTGCTCTCGACAGCGAGCCTTTATCACGCGGCCGTCCAACAAGATAATAAACTTCTGCTTTAAGGTAATTACTTAATCTGGACAAACCTGTGTGTTAAGCAGCGCTATTAAGCGAGGGGGCGATAAATCAGCCGTGCATTGGAGGAGGGAGATTACTCCACGGTGCAATCAGTCTTTGGACGCTCGCAGTCTTTTAAGTACCTAAATTGCACAAACAGCATGCTAACAACATGCCGGGAGCGGAGCCTCGTTTGGTTAATGTCGGCCGCCGCGCGCTCACCTTCAGCCCGCTGATGCATGGAGGTTATTAGCACGCGGCCTCAGCCCGGCTGTCTACGGCTGATAAGTGACTCTTCCTCCTGGGGGTTTGTCAGCGGGGGCCACAGGGGCCACAGGGGCCACCTCGCTACAGCCACACAGAGGTTTGTGGACAGATTTTAGGTGGATGGACAAATGGACAAATGGATGGACGGACAGACGAACCGACAGACGGACGGACAAATGGATGAATTGATGGATTTTTAATTTGAGTAAAAAGTGACCACATGAAACCAAAGACTGCATGGAGACATTCCACTAGACCCGGGGGTCTGGGTCCTCCAAAGAGGTCACAGGATAATCTGAGGGGTCATAAAACGATGAACAGATAGAAGAGAACGCAAAGTCACGTTTATTTTCTGACTTTTATCCAATAATGTTTTAAATAGTGTGTAGTCAGCTTCTAAACCCTAACAGACTCGTGGTCCTCAGGAAGTGATGCCCGTACTGGTTTATTGTTCTACGTTTGGTCAAACGGAGCCAGAAGAACCGCGATCACGAGTGTGTGGAGCAGTTTGTGTGTATTCAACTTGTTTTTAATGCTGTAATTTCCTGCCAAGACCTTCACATTCCTTCATAGTGGAGTGAGGAAGAAGAGGAGGAAGACTTCACGTTGTTACTGGCTGAAGTCTGGTTGTTCCAGGAAACGCAGGCAGTCTGATGAGGAATGTAGAATAACCTCAGAGATCTGATCTCAGTGCTCCGAGAGTACAGACAGTCTGCTCCCGAACGAGGCCACAGACTCTCCCAAACATGCAGAACTCTCACAAACATGCAGAACTCTC